CTCGAGAATGCAATGTTTCATTTAATTGGTTGTCGAAGTAATTTAGTGGTGGCTGGGTTCGCAAGTGATATCATCCTTTTTCCATTGCTGGGGTGATGTAATTCAGAACCAGAGGCTATTGCGTGTTGGAACAGACCTTGACTGTGTATTGCAGTTATGCTTTTATGGCAAATAGTTAATTCTTTTGAATTGCCCGTGTACTTGACTGAAGCTGGATTCAACGAACTGACTTTCTTCCATTTCTGGCGTGGTAGAAACCTTTTGGAATATACTACTGCTGTGTGAAGCCCTTTATTGTCTGAATTTCATTGTGATTCTAGAAGCACTAGATTCAGTGCAAATACTGTATGTCTGTAATCATTTGAATGAAACATTCGCACCCAAAGCCAGATTGTTAGCAACTTCCATGAAAGGTTATTTTTCGTATTTGGCATAAGCAATATCTCTCTTTCAAGAGCATGTTAACCACTCTTTTGAGGGCTTTTCAAGCAGTATTTATTTCCCATCTACAATTACCTTTAAATTGTCTTTTGTCTGCATTGTATTTCCTGGTAGAAAGTGAATTTCACATCATGGACTGTAGTATATAGTAAACGGCAGAGTGTAAGCTGTGTTGTGAGACTTTCGTTCCACAGTAACACTCACTGCTTCTACGTCTTGTGAGTGGCAAATGTTTAACTGGTGAAATCTAAGTATATTAATATAGTTGTAGACTTCTGGTCTACTGAGACTGAAGTGTTGAAACCACTGTTTTCTGATGATGTGCCAGGGAGAAACACTGTCAGATCAATCCTGGAGCTGCTTTCTCCCAACCTCTGGCAAACTTTGTTTTAAACAGTGTGTCCCCTGCCTCTCCCCTCCCAAAACGTCAATAAAATTGGATTTACAGGGAGGAAGAATCCTCTTGTTATTAACTGAACCACATTTAGGTGTGACTGTGATTGCTGAAATCTGACCTCCTGCTGCTGTTGGGATATTTGGGGGATCTGCCCTTTCCGAAACTGCACAACACTGAGCTGCATTTGCTCTGTTGTTAATAGAAGCCTCTGCAGAATTGCAGTTTGCTTTCCGGAGTATTCCCCTGCTGAAAATGCATGAACGCTCTGTCCACTGTCTCTTTACTACTCTTTAAACAGGGAAGTCCAGGTATCGGCGAGTAGTAAGATTGAGGAGAAATCCTGCAAGGTAGACTTCAAATCACAGTACACAAGATTGGTTCGGATGACAAAAGCTCTTTCATCCTTCCAGAACACCCACCCATCAAAGCATCAAGCTGTTTTTGAAATTGGTCAGGGTTATTCACTCCTGTTCCAGTCATTTTAATTGAGATATTTGTGGTGACTAAGACAGTTTTCAGAGTTACCATCTCAGCTGTTATCTTGTTTTGGTCATTAACATTTCCAGTTAGTTATGGAATCAAGTGTTGACTTTGAGCTCACAGACCTGGCTGTCTGACTCCAGTGCAGGGCTTGGGGCAAGGGCTGTATTGTCAGGGGTGCCATATTTTGAGTGTGAGGCTAACCCAAGATCCTGCTTGTCTAAGTCTTAGAGATTAAATTAAAATTAATTAAAAATTAGAGATTAGGATGGTCGGGGCTCCTGCTGGCTATTGAGGGTTTCGTGCCCACACATCGCATCTCATCTTCATCATGATCATGATCATCATCAGGAAAAGCTGTGTGTATACAGGGAGAGACAATGGGAGAGGCTGTGTGTATACATGCCTGATAAGAATTCCTCAAGAAAAAAAGCAATAATGATTTGGTCACTCAATCCACGACTGTTTGTGGGACACTGCTGTGCGCAATTGGCTGCTGCGTTTCGTTCACAAAATATACAATCAATTCAATTAACAGTATATTCTGTGAAGCGCTTTGAGACGTCTAGAAGACGTGAAAAGCACTATATCAAATGCAAGGATTATTATTATTATTATTATTATTATTATTATTATTATTATTATTATTATTATGTCCTCTTGTTCTAATGTCTTGTTCTTTTACAGTCAGAATAAATTTTCTCAGTCTCATTTAAAATGTTATATAACTCTAAAAGGCCCCCATCTGAGATGTCTTATTTCAAGCCTGAAGAGCGCAAGCTTGTTTATTCGTTGTTCATAGCTCATCCCTGTTAAACTGGGATCATCCTCATTGCTCTCTTCTACCTTGCCTGTAGGACAAGAACTTCCGAAGTACACTAGGTGCAGCCTGGCCACAGCATTATATAATTTTCAGATCTTTTCAAACCCCTTTGTTTCCTCATATGAGAGGACTTGGGGTTGCCGTGTTCAGAGACCTCACGCTCTGTCAGTGAACAGTAGCTGCTGAGAATTGGGTGAAAGTGGTTTATTTCTCTTCTCTCTCAGTGAAGCCAGCTGTGGTTACAAGACTGTCCATGTAGACATGTAGGATTGCAAATTAAAACCAAGCTTTAGTGTTTTCTGGCACGCTGATGGAGAAACGTCCTATAACTTTAAAGTAGTTCAAAGTAATATGGGGTGTAAAGAATTCTCCCAAATTCCTTGCCCTCAAATACAAGTCTCTTTCAAGCCTTAGCACCTCTCTGACCTGCTCATAGCCCACTTCTCTGCCTCCCCTTCGCTCAAGTCTTCTGCGGTTTCCCCTGACTCCTCCATGCCCACCATCGATGACCGTGTATTCAGCCTCAATGCCCCTAACTTCTGGAGTTCCCGCTTGATCCCTCCACCTCCTTTTATCTCTTTGAGTTCCACTTTAAGACCTACCTCTTCAACAGTGCCTATGGTTGCCCCCTCCTCTCCCTTCTCCCTTGGTCAGCGTCCAGTCCTGCCATTGTGCAATGCTGCAAGATGATGTCCTGAATGAAGAATGCCAAATAAATACAAATGTTGTTATCTCAGAGGGTGTGGGAGATAGAGCACTGACATGACTTGCGGTTCACATGTTGGGTTGGCTTCACCAACATGAAGAAAATGCAGTGCGACCTGCTGGCTGGAGCCTGACCAAGATCAAAGCAGTTGCTGGTTTGGTTCGCATGGGACTAATTGCTCTTTTGACCAAATATATTTTTTTCTTAAAAAAACAAAATTGCGCAGAGCAACACACATTATGACGACCAATGCAGGTGCACCGCTGTTTCCCTTTTCGAACCTTTGTCGGGGCAGTTTTATATGAACAGCCAGGTCAGAGCCACGGCACTGATAAGCCTGTTTTTGCAGCTGGAACAGACGTATCTCTCATATCCTTCGTGGTTTACAGTGGAAAATTAAGGTGGGGTCACTGTGGACAACCGATATTTTAGTTTTTTTTAATATCCCGTGTTGCATTTATTGTCTCTTTAGAGGGGTGGGGGTGAGGTGGCTGCGAGTATGTTGTACTGGCCCCAAAAGTACAATGCAGCGTTTCTGGTGAGGATCTGGTGACCTCAGCATGGTCAGCTCTCGGAGGTGCATGTTTCTTGGCATCCCTTGTAGTCTGAGCACAATGACTGCAGCTGCTGCTGGTGCACTTCCAACTCTTTGAAGCAAACGCCGGAATGGTCTCCTTCACTCTTGCTCCGGCTATTTTGAGCGACTGAATGGAAGAGGCAATGGATGGATCAAGCAGCTCTTTTCAGTCTGGAGATGCCATGTTTAGAAAGCTGCTGAATCATATTTAGTTCACATGCTTCTAGCACGTGCCGTCTTATGCCTCATGGAAGTGTTAACTCATTGTTGAAATGAACAATGCACAGACAGCATTCACAATTCACTTTTCACAGAGGTGTTGGGATGTGGAATACCCTGCTATGTAAAGTGGTCGGGCAGAGTTCATTGTGGGTTTCGAGAGGAAATAGATGAAAGATAAAGGCTAGAAGGATTATGGGGATAAGGCAAGCAGTGGGATCGAATGAAAAGCTTGCTCTGAGAGCTGGTGCAGACTCGATGGACTGATTTGAGTCCATCCTTCTGCCCTGCAAATCTCTATGATTCTGTGGCCATTTCACAAGTGCTGGAGTCTGACATGTGTTACAGGGATTTGGTATAGCGCCATTCACATCAATCTAAAAATGCTTCGCAGGATATTTTAAGTGAAGTGATTGAGGGTTTTTGTGGGCGATTTAATGTGAGGTTTGTGTCTACAGAACTTAAATTGCCAATGGAATCCAAAAATTCTTTCATGGAGTATTCGCTTGCCTCATGTTTATGTGACTCTTTCTCAGTCAGTTTTGTAACAACAACAACTTGCAGTTATATAGCATCCTTCACGCAGGTAGCATCTTGGAGCACTTAACAGTGGTGTAGCTTGAAGCTTGACTCAACAAAGTAACTTGTGAAGTAGGTGTCATTATCAGTTGTCTCAGACATCATTCTGTTCTTGTGCCAATAATACATAATGCACGAAGAGTGAAATATGTTCGTTTCCAGAAAAGGGCTGATGATAAGTCCAGTGTCAGTCTGTCTCAATTGGTAGCACTCTCACCTCTTGAATCAGAAGGTTGTGGGTTTAATCCGCATGTTGGGATTTTGAACTTAAGTCTAAGCAGACACTGCATATGCACTACTGGAGGAGTTTGGAGATGCTGTCCTTCAGATGAGACATTAAATTGAGGTCTCGCCTGCCTGTTCAAGTGGCCGTTAAGGATCACAAGGAACTATTTCGAAAAGAGTTTCACTCGGTGTCCTGGCCACCAATCTCCCATTTAATTGTGTCATTCATTTAATGGCCGTTTATGTGCTGTACAATAATTGACTGCTGCGTTTGCCTACAAAGTACACAGTCACTACACTTCACAGTAAATCCACTTTGAGACATCTTCCTGACTTGATACCAAATGGAAGGGTTATTATTGTATGATTTCATTCCAGCAGTTGTTCTGTGAAAGTCTATTTNAAAAAAAACTTGTTTAAACCTGGACAGCCAAAATAAAGTAAAAATCCAAGTCCAGTGCCAATTGTAACGTTCTGATGAAATTGTAAACGTTAAGTGTGGGTTATCGATGGAGATCTGGATGGGGCAATGACTGAGTGCTTTACTTTTCAGACACTGGTAAATGTGATGAAGGAAGAGAATGTGCACAGCAGAAGGAGACTTCACCTTCGTCAGATAACTGGGCCATACATCAAGATGTGCAGAATCCATCAAACCTGGTGAATGACACCAGTACTGACCTCATCAGAAGTAAGTCCATGGAAGGTCTTTTGACAAATGTAGTGCATTCTGGAACAAATTGCTGTCTGCCAGTATTACAATAATAGCACAATTACAGATACTGACAATATTGACATGCAGTTAGCTTATGTCAAAAGTGATAATGTCAGTAAAGTAACACGAGTCAACGGAATTGCTTTAACAGAATGATGGCTGTCAAAGTATATTAACAGTGTGTGAAACCGCCACAAAAAGAGGAATGCCGAGGAAGAATTGCTCTTTGTTATTGCTATGCATATCGCCAGACTTGTAAATAGTTCATGGTCCATGACTAGTCTTGGTTCTCCATGTCTTTACACATCTGGCAGTACATCTGTCCTCTGATGCCTTGGTTTTGAGAAGCAAACAGAGCTGTTATTATAATTGGTGGAATTGTTCTGGTGCATGTTTATTGTTGTCCAGATCTGATTGTGGTGTGGGATGGGAGGGGAAATCTGGACAAGCCACAGTCAGTTTACTTTATAACACTTTTTTTCTTATGAACTTCATTCTTCTTTCTAAAAAATAATAATTTGGTCACTCAATCCATGACTGTTTGTGGGACACTGCTGCTGTGTTTCGCCCACAAAACATACAGTCAATTCACTTTACAGTATATTCGGTGAAGCACTTTGAGACATCTCAACTACGTGATCAGGCATAATATGAAATGCAAGTATTATTGTTATTAGTATTGCCTTCCAACCTAATGGCATTGCTACAGACAGAAACATGTAGGTGGTACTTGTAGCTGGCATGTCCAGGAGTTCACCCATCTCGCTTCTTTGCTCATGTCTTGAAAAGTACCTCTTTGACACCAGCACCCGCTCAACTCCTTGTGTATGTGCAGCAGTGGATGAGCCATTATGGAGCCCTGTAGCATATTGCACTCACCTCGCAAGTGAGAAGATCTGGCTTTGATTCCCAGGCAGGGCAAAATGCAAAGCAAGTTTCTTTATTCCACATGCCTCGTTTACCTAGCAGTAAGTAGGAACCCGTCTCCACTTTATCGCCACAAATTGTTTGTCTTCTAGCCTTCGCACCGTCTGGTGCGGTGTTCCTCAGAGCTCTGTCCTTGATCCCCTCCTCTTCAATATCTATCTATATGCTCCTTCTTGGTGACTTCATCCTCAGACATGGAGTCAACTTCCACATGTATGCAGATGACACCCAACTCTATCTCTCTGCCTCCACCCTTGACTCCAGGACCACTGGCGTCCTGACAGAATGTCTGTCAGACATCAAGTCCTGGACGAGAGCTAACTTTCTTCAGTTGAACCAACAAGACCGAGGTTCTCCTGATTGGCTCCTGTCAGCGCCTCCACACCTCAGGCGCTGACAGCATCACCATCCAAAGATGCACACTCCATCTTGCTAAGCCAATCCGGAACCTTGACATCTTGTTTGACGCTCAACTATCCTTTCAGCCCACATCCGTGCCATGACCCGCTCTGCCTTCCCCCACATCCGCAACAGCTCCGCCATTATCTCACACCGCAGGCTGCCAAAACGCTCATACACGCATTCATAACATCCAGGCTTGACTATGTAAAGTCCCTGCTTGTCGGCCTCCCCAACTCCTCCCTCCGTAGGCTGCAGATCATCCAGAACTCTGCAGCTTATGTCTTCTCCCACACCAGACTCCATCACTCTCATCCTCACCCGACTCCACTGGCTTCCCATCACACAGAGATTACAGTTCAAGATTCTGCTCCCCCCTACCCCTGCGACCTCTTAACCCCCTAACGTCCTGACCGCTACCTCCACTCAGCGGGCTCCAGCCTGCATCACGTCCCCGCCTCGTCTGCCCCACCATTGGCGGGCAAGCCTTCAGCCACTCTGCCCCCACCCTCTGGAACTCTATGCCGCAGTCCCTCCGCCTCACCCCCTCCCTTGCCTCCTTCAAGACCCATCTCAAGACCTTCCTGTTTGACCGTGCGTTCAATCCCCCTCCTTCCCCCCCTGGCCTCCACTCTCCCCAATCCGACCTTCAGCTCAGGTCCGAAGCCTTGGGACATCCTCCCGACGTGAACGGCGCTATAAAATGTAATTTTGTTGTTGTTGTTGAACCTGGTTATTAGTCATTTGGCAGATTGCTTTCTTGGGGGCAATAATCTATTTAAAAAAAAAAAATTTGGTCACTCAATCCACGACTCTTTGTGGGACACTGCTGTGCGTAATTGGGTGCCATGTTTAACTCATAAAATATGCATTCAATTCACTTTACAGTATATTCTGTGAAGCGCTTTGAGACCTCTCAAATACGTGATCAGGCACTATATGAAATGTAAGGATTATTAATCTTCATTACCAACATCGGTGTCTATTTCCTCTTGTAAACTTTATTAATTTATAAACTGTGTGGCAACAGCTCAGCCTGAATGTCTAAAGTATAATGAAATCGGAGGCAGGAGATTAGATGTTTAAACTTGGGAGGGGGTGGGGGGTAGGGGAGAATTGACATGGCAATTGAAGAAATAAAATGCTTCAAAGCTTCATAAGGATGTGAGAGTTGTGGTTTTTCACCAATCTTGAGAAACTGTGGCAGGAGGCTCCCTTCACAATCCACTGTTAAAGAACTCAAAGTAATATTATTCTATGAGTCTGAGAGCGCAGAGAACACCTGAAGTAAAATGGGATGAAAGACCAGGACACATTTGAAATGACTTCCAGAACTCCCTTTTAGATCCACCACCAGCTATCTTATATTTATGCCTTCTAGTTTTGCATTTGCCAACAGTGGAAACAACCTATTAGCATCCACCTATGAAACCCTTTTGTACCTCTGTCTGATGGGCATGAAGCTTCTTGCGTAATGGTTGTGAAAAGCAAATGTTTGTTTGCAATTACTGCATAAGTTCAGATAAGTGGCGTTTTGGTTTGATTTCAGCGTTATTTACTGTGGATCATTAACTTCATGAGCTGCAAGTTCTGCTGTGTTTGAGTTCCATGTCTGGAGGCTCAAGCCTTATGCCAGAGAACGATAGTGTCAAACTTAAGTGTCTAGTTATTATTGGTGCATTTTTAACAGCCACTTTTTTTTTGCTCATCTGGGTGTTTGACACAGGCGAAATCCATTACTATCTTCAAGGGTATCTAAACCAGACTGAAGGTTTCACATATGTATGCCACCCATGCACGGAAATGCTCATGTTCTGAATGGAATGTATACTCTCTCCCAGGAGGGACACACTCTGCTTACCTAATTTCAGAGACCATTAGATGCAAGTCAAGGATTGGGGTACCCCAGAGAGCGCACTGGGGTACTGCTTGGAGTTTAACAAACTAACAGCTGTGCCGGTCCAATTTGCAAGAACTGCAAAAAAAAACAAATAAAATAGTGAGCTCCATTTTAATGATTTCATTTACATTGACTTCAGATTGAATATAGTACAGTACAGTAAAGCCAGCTGAGTTTTATTTCTTTCAACTTTTAACAGTTCAATATTCATGGAAGCGTGAAAAAGGCTGCATACCAGTTGGACAAAACAATGAGTCATCAAGATCTGTCTTTAATAGTGCCTTCGGCCATCTTCCCCTCACTGGTATGCCCCCACCCCTCTCTGGTTGGGTGCTCAGCCAGCAGTGTCAAACATGTGGGACATCCTCCTGATATGAAATTGTAATTTTTTTTTGCATTCAATCATAACATTGTGAAAGTCTATATTTCCCAATCAGCCTGATGTTTGCAGAGTTGGCAATATTACACTGTACTTTTGGTGATGGTGAGTTACAGGAGAGGATATTGTATTTACGTTAACTCTGGTGTAGGTTCCTGCAGTGGGCTTGAACCTGGGAAAGTTCGCTGGGTTTCTGGAGCTGTCTGGTTTGGCTGCCCAGAACTGAAAACCAAGTATGACTGGCCCTTGAATATCCTAAAATAATTAAAGGGGAAGTAGGAAATGACAAAATATAGTTTAGAAAGCTATTTTTATACTCCGGTGACTGGCACGGTGCAATTTGTGCTTGCAGATTTACGCAGCTCAACAAATGTACATTTCACCCGATGACAAGACAGTTACAGTGAGGAAGACTTATTTGATCTCTCTTTCTCACCTTGTCTAATCATAATACAACAAACACTGGCCTGCTTCGTGTACCCTCCCCATCCACCCTTCCAGCAGCGGACAAGCTTTCAGCCATTCTGCCCTCACTCTCTGGAAATCCAACCTGGACTCCCTCCGACTCGCAACCTCCCTACCCACGTTTAAAGCCCACCACAAGGCTTACCCCTTTGACCGCACTTTCGGTCATGTTTCTCTTCCCCATCCTCTTTGTCTCCTAGGTAGCAATAGCTTTGAGACATCTTCCTGATCTGAATGGCACTATGTAAATTGTATTGAGCCGTTTCTCAAATGAATCCCAGTAACTAGACTTGCATCTTAACCAACATCTACCTTTATACTAACGATAGTAATTTGGATCCATAATAACTGCTTGCATTTGTATACCGTCCCGTAGCTATTTGCAAAGTATAATTAGAAATGATAGTGAATGTTAAATAGGCAAACACAACAGCCAATGTGCACCTGGCAACATCCCATAATTAACAATGAGATGAGTAGCCAACTGAGTTAAATTTGGATGAAAAGAATGGCACCTCCGACAATACTGTGCTCCCTGAAACTGTAGTGTTAGCTGGCTATGAACTCAAAAAGTGCCCATGAGGGGTTTGAGCTCACAACCGAATGACATTCAGGATTGGTGTCTTGAGTATATAGTGGGGTTAGCCCAAAGGAGATTAGATGAGCTGCTGAATTAAAGCATGTTTAGGTCTTTGACTCTACTGAAGTTAGTCTCTAGGGTGAAGAAGTGTAGAGGTTTAATCCAAAACTCTGCCACCCGGATACTCACCCACACTAAATTGCCTACCCCCATCACACCAGTTCTAATCAGGCTCCCCTGGCTCCCTATCACTGAATGAATCAATTTCAAGATCCTTCAAAGCCCTTCATGCTCTCGCACCTCCCTATCTTTCAGACCTTGCTTAC